TAATTTCATTATTTTTCTTTCTTGTCCAGCCTCTTATAATTGTAGCAAACAAATGTGATGTGAAGAGAATAGCTGAACTTTCTGAAGATGATCAGGTATGTCGCCCTGGCATTTTGCGTATTTCTTACTTAGTAATTGTGAATGTCATCTCAGACAGCCAAAGTTTAGAAGAAGGAATTTTAGCAATGCTAGTCTAGTATTTAATTTTACAGTTGAGATAATAACCTCAGTGGTTTGGTGACAGGACCTTATAAAAATCTAGTTAGTGTCAAACTAAAACGCAGGTTTCTTGACTGGTACTCTATTTTTTTTTTTTTTGGTGACAGAGTCTTGCTCTGTTGCCCAGCCTGGAGTGCTGTTTTCCTTAGAGATGGCGTCTTGCTCTTGCTCTGGTTGGTCTTGAACTCCTGAGCTCAAGCAATCCTCCCGCCTCGGGCCTGTATTTCTGTGCTCGCGGGGCTCTCTGTTACTCTGATGCACTCTGGTGCTCTCCCTCCGTTAGTTCTTTGTGAAAATGTAGTGGTTTACTCACTGTTCTGACTGTTTTTGAGGAGCTTCTCGTTGGCCATCTTGCTGACTTCGCACTGTTACTCATTTGTATTTTCTTAATCACAGAAGGATATACAGAAAAATAACTTTTTAGGAGATGTCTGTTCTTCAAGAGTTATCAAAACAAGTCAGAGATGTTGAACAATTAGCATTTGCAGCCTTCATTTGCAGAGCAGAACAACTTGCTCCATAGGGAACTGGAAATAATGATGCAGCTGTAATTTCTCCTCTGTGTTTCCAGAAAATATTTATAGGTTTGCAGGCTGAAGGCTTCCCTGTGATAGAGACCAGCACGCTGACTGAGGAAGGTGTCATTAAAGTGAAAACAGAGGTCAGTGCTGCCTTAAATCAGGCCCTAGGCTTTTTGCTGTCTCTCTCTTGTTTTAGGATACTCCGTCACGGGAAGGAGTATTTTCCTTGTAGGTATTTCTGACACGGGGGGCACTCGTGGTAGCTGGACAGGCGTCGTGCACCAGGGATGGACCGAGACTCTCGGGAACGCCGTGCCCACCCCACTCGGGGAGGATGGATTTGAGGGGATGCTTTGCGATTCCCACCCTAGACAATTTTAACCTAAAATGACTGCTGCGTCTTTTTGACCTTTTTATATTTCCAAAGCACCTACAGTAAAAAGTACTTTTATGGAACCTGTTCAGAAGTAGAAGGGAAAAAAGTGGTCTAAAGCAAAAACAGATTAGGGGAGGCAGTCCCCTGTTAGATTTCACATGCCTTCCCAATTACTTTCTACGTCATTGCGTTATTTTTATCTGAAATAAAAGGACGCCTCTGCCTTCGTGGTTTTACTCAGGGATCCATTGCCCGAGCTCTTGTCCTGAGGGGCTGTGTGGCCTCTAGTGCAGGCAGGGGTGTGGAGGGCACCGTGGGTCTGTGCGGAGGGGCCTGCTCTGTGGGCAGGACCCGAAACGGGGCATGGGAGGGCACTGGGGCTGCGTCAGGATTCAGCCTCCCCTGGAGAGAGGCAGAGCCTCTTCTTTGTGAGAGCACAAGCGGGGTCTGCAGCCGCTGTAGTTACCTGCAGAGGGGAGTGAGCAGCAGTTCCCAGCCGGCACCTGTTGGTGAGCAGGGTCTGGTTGTGGGTCCTCCTGGGGGCGCGTGGCCCAGGCTGCCGCAGGACGTCTCCCTGAGCTGTGCCTTGTTTTTACTTTCTCAGGCTTGCGACAGGCTTTTGGCTCATCGAGTGGAAACCAAAATGAAGGGCAACAAGGTGAACGAGGTGCTGAACAGACTGCACTTGGCTGTCCCC